GGGAGAAGCACTAGAATTGGAAAACACTCTGGGCTCTGGAGGGGGGAATCAACCAAACATGTTCTTCAGGCATGCGAACCCAACAACTACAACATCAACAACAACAGCAACAAACATTTCCAGGCTGTTCACTCTTACCAGGCCAGGTGCCACTAAATACGTAGATCCCGACACCTCGATACCCACCCCCTTGGGGGTATTTCTTCCTTACCTACCACGCGTATGTGGCGCAGCCCCTCAAGCACGGAAGAATGGACGGATGGAAAGGGAAGGGAGAAGGATGGAGCACGAGAGAGATTAGCAGGAGGAGGGCTGGGAGCAGAAAACACATGGCAGAACCAGACGGGCTGATCGGGCGGATCGGGAAGGCGGGCACAGGCGGCAAGGTCGAGCAGGCTGGTTGCTGAGGCGCGAGTCCTGCATGAATCGCGAGGAGGTCTCGAGCATAAACTATGTGGAAATACCAGGCGGGAGCCGTCTTTATGGTAGTTCGGAAACCAATTGGGAGCCCAGGGAAGCGCAGTTCAATTGAAAAGCACAAGGTGCTCTAGATGGGGGATCAACAATAATCAATCCTCATCCTCATCCTCATGATCATCCTCATCCTCATCCTCAACATCAGCACCAGCATCATCATCACCATCATCATGTTCATAATAAAATTCATATGTATAGTCATACTCATCTTCATCATCATCACCATCACCATCATCATCAGCATCATCAGAATCATCCTCGTCGACGTCATCGTCGTCATCGTCGTCATTATTGCCGTCATGATCACCGTCATAGTCCTCCTCCTCCTCATCCTCATCATCAGCAGCAGCATCATCCTCATCGTTACTATCATCAGAAGCAGCACCATCAACAACAGCAACAACAACAGCAACAAACCGTGCGAGACTGCTCGCTCGCATCGGCTCGCGCGACATTCCTCGCATACATCCCAAGCCCTCTATATACACGCGCCCCCTCTGTCTTCCACCGTGCCCCCCCCCCCCCCCCCTTGGGGCATGGCTTCCCCGCCTGCCGCGAGTCGTTGGCGCAGCCGCTGGAACAGGGGAAGGAAGAGAGGAGGGGAAGAGACTTCTTCCCCCCCTCTAGAGGGAAGAGAGGAAGAGAGGGGGAGGGAGAGAGGAAGAGAGGAGGAAGAGAGGGGGAGGGAGAGGAAGAGACAGGGGATGAGAAGGAAGAGGGATGAGGGAAGAGACAGGAGGAGGAACAGGGGAGGAAGAAGGATGGAGCACGAGAGATTTGCAAGAGGGGGGGCCTGGGAGCAGGAGCACAAGCGGCAGTACCAGACGGGCAGGTCGGGCGGGCGGACCCCAACGGGCAGGCTAGGCGGGCGGGCCCAGGCGGCCGGCTCGAGCGGGCGGGTCGCTGAAGCGTCAGCCCAAACATGGATCGCGAGGACGCTTCGAGCGACAGCGCGATTCCCAAGCACATCGTGAGAAAAGCCGAGGCAAGAGCGCGATTCCTGAGACTTGGGGGCACGGCGCTGTAATGAGCCTGTGAGGGAATCCCACGCGAGAGCGGGACGCCTGCATAAATTGTGACGACATCCGCGCGAGAGCACGACTTTGAATATCTTATGAGGAAATATCAGGCGGGAGCCTTGTTGTTGTAAACCAGAGGCCAACATGACAATTTGAGGGGGAAGACTTCCCCTTGTAAAAAAATGTGCGAGCTCTGGGAGGAGCACTCTATTTCAAAAACACAATCTGCACAAGAGTGGGGAGATCAACAAGTATGTGAAGACTGCTCTTGTATGCTCACATGTCGGTCAACATGTATAGCACGAACCGTCGATATTCGACCTCTTCGTCTTCGATCATACCCCACTGGGGGCATATCTTCCTGACCTGCCACGTGGACTTTGTACTGCCCCTCAAACGAGAGAAGATAAGACGGATGGAACGGGGAGGGAGAAGGATGGAGCACGAGAGAGATTAGCAGGAGGAGGGCTGGGAGCAGAAAACACATGGCAGAACCAGACAGGCTGATCGAGCGGGTTGACAGTAACGGGCGGGTCGGGAAGGCGGGCCCAGGCGGCCAGGTCGAGCAGGCGTGTTGCTGAAGCACGAGTCCTGCATGAATCGCGAGGAGGTCCAGAGCGATAGCGCGACTCCCAAGTACACATCGCGAGAAAAGCTGAAGCAAGAGCGCTGTTCCTGAGTGTCGAGGGCGCGGCATTTCCATCAATTGCGAGGAAATATCACGCGGGAGCGCGATTTCTGCAGAAAGTGTGAAAAAGTCCCGCTCGAGAGCTCGACTATGAAATAAATTGTGAGGGAACATCTGCCAGAGCCGTTGTGGCTATAGCTCGGAGACCAACAACTCAACCTTAGGAGGAAGACTCGCATTTGTGAAACAGATTGCGAGCCCTGGGATTAACACTGGAATTGAAAAACATAAGGCTCACAGGAGGGTGGATCAGTAATAATCACCTTTTAGACATGAAGATGTAACAACAATCATGTTAAGACTGTTCGTTGTCATATGCTCGCGTGTCAGTCAAGATGTAGATCACAAGCCCTCGATACCTGCCCTCTTCGTCGTCGATCGCAACCCCTTGGGGGTATATGTCTTCTTTACCTGCCCTGTGGAATTGGCGCAGCCCCTACAAACAGGAAGAGGAAGGAGGGAGGGGACAACAGGGGGAGAGAAGCGCAGCACGGCAGAGAAACCAGGAGGGGAATGAGCAGAAGGGGATTACCGTAAGTCGACAAAATGTTGCCCCACTCAGCTATATTGCATTGCTCCTCCCCCCCCCTCCCCCTGATCTTAATATTGGGCACATGGCAAAGGTCCCTTGGCGCCCCCCCCAGAGCTCGCGACAGAATGTTGCACCACCGAGCCGTTTCGATGAACCCGGGACCGCAGCCAATGTTAAGATTGGGGGGAGGGGGGGTGGAAGCGAACATCCATTGCAAAATCGGCTTGCTTTCTTGACAACAGCAGGTGGTGCAACATGTTGTCGATGTACCGTAGGAACAGATGAACAAGCGGCATAACAAGACGAGCGGGTCGGGCAGGGCGGGCCGGGCGGGCCCAGACGGCCGGGTCGAACGGGCAAGGCGCCGAAGCGTCCGTCCTGCATGAGTCGCGAGGAGGCCTCGAGCGACAGCGCGACTCCCAGGTACATCGTGAGCAAGCCCAAAAGAGAGGATGATTCCTGAGTGTGGGGAAGGCGCGGCGTCATCATGAATTGCAGCGAATTGCAGCGCGAGAGCGGGATTCCTGCATGAATTGTGAAGAAGTCTGGCGCGAGAGCGCGAGTTCTAATAAATGGTGAGGAAGTATCAGGCGGGAAACAAGGAACGAGCCCCAGGAGGAGAACTGCAATCTAAAAAACACCAGGTGCACCAGAGGAGGCCGTCCCGTCGACTGCCGCCGGCACCTCCTGCGCGCGCACGGTCGCCTCGGGCCCGAAGCCTGCCACGCCACCGATGCCCTGGCCATGCCGCACCGCCTGCGACCCCGCCGACTTGACCTGCTGCGGGGCCGCCTCGCCCAAGCCGTGCGAGCAAGCCCAGCCGCCAGGCTCGCGGCACCCCGCCGCGTCGTCGCCGCCATCCTCGCCCATGTCGAAAAACTGCAGCCCGCCAGAGGCGGCCTCCGCGCCAGCTTCGCCAGCACAGGCGCGGCCCACCAGGAGCTTTGACAGCTCCGCCGCGGCGATGAAGCCGATGGCGCTGATCAGCTGCGACTGCGCCTCCTGCTCTTGCCCTGCTGCTTGTGTTCCTTGTCCTCATTGCCCTCCTTTTTGCCCACCGTAGGCACCCCACGGGTCCTGCTCCGACACATTCGGCTTAGACCCGTTGCTCTCGTGCTTGCTGTGCTGCATGTCGGCCTCGAGCGCCCGCTCGAAGTCCTGCCGCACCTTGCTCTTCGGGGCGCACTGCACGGCCTCATGCTTCTCGCCAGGAGATCGGCTGCGGCCCGCCATTGTCTTCGGCTGCGCAGGCGTGTCCGCACAGTCGCCTGGCGGCGGCTCCATGGGCGCATCCGCGATCGCCAGGAGCGGCGCCGAGGACGGCCGAGCCGTGGGCATTGTCTTGGACGGCGCCGCCGCCCGTACAGGCTCCCTCTGGGGCGACTTGACCTGCCGAGCCCCCAGGACCGCGCACACGGAGGCCGCCACTGAGGCCTCCACCGCGGCTCCGACCGCCGCCTGCAGCAGGGCCGCCGCCCCGCCCGCGGGAGGAGGAGCTCCCGCCTGGCTGCAGCCGCCGCTGCTGCGGTGTGGCGCCATGCCATCCGCTCGGTGCTCCTGCGCCGCTTTCAATAGCGGAGAAACAGCTCCCTGAGCTCCGCCCGGGAGGAAAACGGCTGGAGGAGGGAGCCAAAGGAGGAGGAGGAGGAGGAGGAGGAGGAGGAGGAGGAGGAGGCGGCGGAGGAGGAGGAGGAGGAGGAGGCGGCGGAGGAGGAGGAGGGAGGAGGAGGAGGAGAGGGGGGAGGAGGAGGAGGAGTGAGCAAGAGGAGGAGGAGGAGGAGGAGGAGGAGGAGGAGGAGGAGGAGGAAGAGGAGGAGGAGGAGGAGGAGGAGGGGGGGAATAGGAGGACGGAGGAGGAGGGGGAGGTGGAAAAGGGACGGAGGAGGGAGGCAAGGGGAGGGCGGAGCGGCTGCACTGCCACCAGAGGGAGGTGAGGAGGGGAGTCCAGGAATCGAACAAGAGAGGAGTGGAGGGGGAGGGGGGGGGGAAGGGCAGAACAAGAGGTAGGTCGACCCCTGGCCCTGGCTTCGTGGGCTTCTCGACTGGACCAGAAGGCTGGGGCCCCACTCGGGGATAGAGGACAGGGGGGGGGGCGTCCGTCCTCCATGGGGGTGCGTCCGACTAGCCCATCCTGGGGTGTACCCAAGAGTTCCCCCTTCCCCCCCTTTCTGAACTCTGTTGGGCGGAACTCGGGGATGGGGGGGGGAAACATCGCCCGCGAGGGCAGAAGAGGGAAGAAGATGGAGGCTGAAGAGGGGGAAGAGCCGGGGCGACAGCCGAGCGCCTGCAGCGACTGCACCGACCCGCTCAGGTCCGTGGAGAGCGCCGCCTCCGTCTCGATGACCGCCAGCTGCACCTTCTCGGCAGCGTTGCCATCGCGCTGCTGCCTCTCGCCAAGGGGGAAGGGGGAGAGGAGGACCTGAGCACGCTCAAGGTGCACGGACAATGCTGCAGCACACCCTTCCGTCCAAAGCCTCCTCCTCGCAGGCCACGTCGTGCACCCCTGCTCGCAGCTGCGGGCGGCGCCGCGGAGAGGCGAGGCGCCCCTGGGGCCTGCTATTCACACGAGAGCGCCGCTTTGAAAAAGAAACCGCCCTGCATCCTTGCAGACTGTGGCCATACGCGTACCACAAGCTCCCAGCCAGGGCTACCGTCTTAGCGCCACGCGCACTGCCGTCACACGCTCCGATGCTCACACGGAGGGAGGGCGGGCGCTTCTCAATCTACATGGTTGACTACCGCTTCACAACTCCAACAGCTTGAAGACCAGAAGTCAAGCCCTGTGCAACAGCTACAAGAATGGAGGACGGCTCATTTGTCAAGTGCAGCTTTCGCTTAAGACCTCCTTGGGCCTCCTGGCCAAAAGCTTCCGTGTGCAGCAGCTACACGGATGGAGAGCGGTTCCTTTTCAAAACGGGATCCTCGCTGGACACTTCCCCTGGACTCTACGATCAGGTCGGGCATGCCCTCCTTCAGGCGGATTTTGGAGGAATAGTTAAACACAGACGAACTACCGAAACTTCTTTAAACTAAAATTAATCAGGAATAGTCGAAAGAGCACGAAACATCGTCCCCGTATTATTTTTTGTGTTCATGGATACTCCTGCTGTAGAGGGACATGCCCGACTTAACTCTACGCCTCTGGGTCCTCGCATTTCTCGAAGGCGGCCGAGGGTGGAGGGCAGCTTGCCCCACTGCCGGCACTACTGCAAGACCGCCGTTCCTTGACGAGCAGTGCCCGACCTCCCTCCGAGGTGCTCCCAGCGGCTGTGAAGAGTTCCGAGCTCGGACGCCAAGCTCGCGGGCAGCACGTGAACAGACAGGGCAAACTTAGCGGGCGAAGAGCGGTATAAAAAAGGCTGTCCGCCGTCGAGGACGCCTACCCCCTGGGCGGCTGGAAAGTTCATACCCCTACGTGGCACCGAATGGTTATAAACTTTCCAGCCGCCTGGGGGGCAGGCGTCGCCGACGGCGGAAAAGTGTCTTTCATACCATTTTTCGCCCGCTCAAATAATTGCCCAGACGACAAGCGCGTAAAACAGCCCACTGAGAACGAAGATACAGGCGGCGTGCCGGTGCACGGACGTTCCGACACGCAGGGACACAAACACACACACACACACACACACGAGAACCCCCCCACACCCACACAAACACACACACACACACACACGCACGCACACACACACGCACACACACACACACACACACACACACACACACACACGCGCACACACACACACACACACATGCACACACACACACACACACACACACACACGCCCACACGCACACACGCACACACACACACACACACACACACACACACACACACACACACGCGCGCGCACACGCGCACACACGCGCGGACACACACAACGCCACGCGTGGCACAAGAGAGGAGGCTCGGCCGTGCCACCGCCTCGCTGCGCCGGCCAGGGACGCGCCCGCCGCGTCCATCGCCTCGCGCCTCGGCCGCGCGCAGGGCGGGCGGGGGCGCCGATCGGCGGGCGCCAGAGGGGCCATCGGCGGCCCGCGACTCTCTGGCGTCACGAGCCAGCCTGCTCCCTCGTCATCTTCGACCTCTGCGGGCCGCATCTGGGCCCGAGGGCCGTCAAAACACGGCGCAGGAGGGGCAGGAGGAGGAGGAGGAGGAGGAGGAGGAGGACGGAGGCGGGAGGAGGAGAGGAGGAGGGGAGGAGAAGGAGGAGGAGGAGGAGGAGGGTGAGGTGGAGGAGAGGAGGGAGGAGGAGGAGGAGGGAGGAGGAGGAGAGGGGAGGAGAGGAGGAGGAGGAGGAAGGGGGGAGGGGGGAGGGCGGGGGGAGGTGGAGGAGGGGGAGGGGAGGGGGAGGGGGGAGAGGAGAGGAGAGATGAGGAGGAGGAGGAAGGATGAGGAGGAGGAGGAGGAGGGGGGGGTGAGAGAGGAGAGGAGGAGCCCGGCCTCAGGGGGGGGGGGGGGGGGGGGGGGGGCCCCCCACCTCACAGAGCAAGCGCGGCGTCGGGGCCCGCAGGCCTTTGGGCCCTCCGGGTCGACCCCGCAGAGGCACGGGGGCATTCGCGCGGGGCCGGGGCACGAGAGTTCGAAGGCGGGGGCGCGAGCAAGAGTGCGGATAAGCCGGGCAAGGTTGAGCCGATGACGACGAAGACAGAGAGAGAGAGGAAGAAGACGGCGGAGACGGCGAAGACGATAGTGATCAGGAGGATCGGACGGAACGGAGCGTAGAGGGTGATCTCGATAGCTGCTGATGTGTGGCATGGTTCGATTCCTCTCCTTCCTCCGCCTTCTCCTCAATATCCTACGCCTCCTTATCCAGCTCCTCCTGCGTCTCCTCATCCGCCTAAGAAGGAGAATCGATCTTACACGGTGTGTGTTGGTGGCCGTTAGACTTTGTGGCAAGTGCGCGGGCTGTGGCAAGCATCTGGCCCATGGTGGCCTCGCGGGAGGAGGAGAGGAGGAACGAGGGGTGCTGTCTCTTCAAAACGAGGACCCAACACCTCAGAATGGTTGGGAAAAAAGGAGGAGGAAGGGGAGAGGAGGAGGAGGCGACGGCGAAATCCCCGCTTCACCTTGCTAACCTCACCACCACCACCCTCTTGTGGCGGTGGGACGAGGTGGCGAGCTGTTTGATCTCGGGGAAGGACGAACAAGGGGACTCGCCACAGGCCCCCGCGGCCAGCCGTGGCCGACCGCAGCGGCCGCAACTTCACTACGGGCCTGTCGCACCTACAGCTTTTACCAGCCTCGAACGTATCCCTATCCCTAAGATTGACAAGCCAAAAGGCGATGACAATCTTAGGGATTCGCCCTCAAATTGGCATCGTGATGAGGAGGTGCTCAGCATAGGCATAGGGATATGTTCCAGGCTGGTAAAGCTTTGCTTTTCATTGCATCTCTACCTCCCTGCCTCCTCAGGCGCCTTCCCGCCCGCAGCAGGGCCAGCCTACAGCAGCCGCAGCAGCAGTCGCGACCACCGGCCGCCTGCTGCAACTGACGGAGGGGGGGGATAGACTGACGGCGGGGGCACACACTGCCTACTCCGTGCCACCGCCACGGAGGCCAGAAACCTCCCCCACGCACGGTGGAAATTCCGCAAGCGGCCCCCACCTCCACGATCTGGGTATCCTACGCCTGCCTGGCAGGGGGGATGGGGGACGCTTGGGGGAACGTCCTATGTGCAAGGGGAGAGGCCCTTCTGCCCTTCCACGTGGCGAGAGTGGCACGCGCTTGCCAACCTCCGCGGCGCCATTCGGGGAGGGCCCAAACCTCCTTCACGCGCGGTGGAGACCCCCCGAGGCGGCCCCGAAGCCGACGTGCTGGGAACCCTTCGCCTGCTTGCGGGCGAAGGATCCCGCCGTCGGCCTCGCCGAGTGGGAAAGCCCTCGGGCCTTCCCCACCCAGCAAGCTGCACCCCAGAGGGGGGCCCCGCGGAGTCTTCTGCAGCTCCCGCGGCCGGCCGCCGCACCGCTGCCAGCGCAGCGCCTCTGCCTGCCTCCTTCGCTGGCCACCTTCGCATCCACAATGTTTGCGCGTCCGATCCGACGCTTCCGATGCTACGGTCACGAGCCCAGCTGCACTCGCGGCTCGCGCCGTGGCTGCCAAGCTCGTGTTCCGCGTGGATGCTGCGACAACGGTCCACAGGCCGGGGATGTCCAAGCACGCCCCAGACGTTCCTGGCTCGGAAGCGAGCTGCTGGCCGATCGACAAGCGGTCGACCACCACTATCTCAGATAGTGGTGCGCGTGTCCACCACTATCTGAGATAGTGGTGGACACGCGCACCACTTTCAACAGGCCTCAGTGCCACTTCCCAGCTTGCTTGTGGAGGGAGCTGGAGGCCCCACACCACGACCCCCCAACCTTGTCCAATAGGACACCTCTACGGAGGGGGACCCTGGGCACCCTCCAGAGCGCTGGCCCAACAGGGCCAGGCGACTCGCGGGAAGGGGGACCCGGCTCAGCCACAAGAAAAAGGCCAAATGGAACATCCATAATTTTTTGCCCACACTGCCGCCTGCCACAGTGTACCCCCCTTCCTTCCTTTATGTTCCTCCCATCTCAACTGCCTCGTCTGTCTGTCTCCGTTTACGGAGTACGTAGCACCCCGCAATTGCGGATAAGAGTGAGGGGGCGGGCGCGGGCGACGCGGGCGTCGTCGAGCCGGCGGACCTCGTGGCCCCCACCTTCCCTGTCGATGGCGCTCTCCTCCTCCTCCTCCTCCTCCTCCACCTCCTCCTCCTCCTCCCTCCTCCTCCTCCTCCACCTCCTCCTCCTCCCCTCCTCCTCCCTCCTCTTCCTCGTCCTCGTACTCGTCCTCATCGTCATCGTCATCCTCCTCCTCCACCTCGTCCTCCTCCTCCTCCTCCTCCTCCTCCTCCTCTTGTTCCTCGTCCTCCCTCTCCCCCCCTCGTCCTTTCATCATCGTCCTCCCATTGTCGTCCTCCCCCTCATCGGCCTCCATCATCGTCCTCCCATTGTCGTCCATCATCATCATCATCATCATCTTCATCATCACCATCACCATCACCATCACCATCACCATCACCATCATCATCATCACCATCATCATCATCATCATCATCATCATCATCATCATCATCATCATCATCATCATCATCATCATCATCCCCCTCCTCCCCCTCCTCGTCCTCCTCCTCCTCCTCCCCCTCCTTCCCCTCTCCCCCTCCTCGTCCTCCTGCTCCTCCTCCTTTTCTTTCTCCACGTTCTTCTTACATCCTCTCTTCTTCCGCGTCCTCCTCGTCCCCTGTTTACTCCTCCTGCCTCCCCCTCCTTTCCCAAGGTAACTGCAACGCAATCCTTTTTTGTCCACGTTATGCTCCCCGACTTCTCTGATCAAGGCAACTCGCCAGGGCAAAGTTGCTGGACGGGCTGGTGTGGATGCGCGGGGCTTGAAGAGGTCCTTGCGGGCTCAGACGGCATGCAAAAATCCGCCGCCGCGCTTGTGCGGCATTGGTTTGTTCAGTGAACGTGGTTTGGGTCGCGGGTGGGTCGCGGGCTCTCCACCTCCACCTGGAAGGAATGCAAAAGCAGCCCGCCGCAGGCGCCAAACAAATTGGTTTGTACATTGAACGTGGTTTGGGTCGCGGGTGGGCCGCGGGCTCTCCACCGGGAACGACTGCAAAAAATGCCCGCCGTAGGCGCCGAAAAATGTGGTTTGTACCCTGAACGTGGTCGCGGGTGGGCCGCGGGCTTTCCACCTGAAACGAATGCAAAAGATGCCCGCCGCAGGCGCCGAAAAATGTAGCTTGTACCCTGAACGTGGTTTGGGTCGCGGGTTGGTCGCGAGTTGGTCGCGGGGTGGGTCGCGGGCTCTCCACCTGGAAGGAATGCAAAAAAACCCGCCGCAGGCGCCGAAAATGGTGGTTTGTATCTTGAACGTGGTTTGGGTCGAAGGTGGGTCGCGGGTGGGTCGCGGGGTGGGTCGCGGGTGGGTCGCGGCTGTCGCGGGTAGGGTTCTCGGGTGGGTCGCCGGGTGGCCGCGGGGCGGGTCGCGGG